CTGCCATCCACTCTGGCTGCTGATGGGACAGTGGTGGGGACGGGGACAGCCTCCATGCTGGCTCCGCTGGGGCTGAGGAGGCTGGCTAGACTCTCATCTACAACTACAAGGCACTGTGCAGCCTTGTGCCCAGTGGCCAGGGGAAGGACAGGCCTCAATTAGTGAGGGTAAATCGTGCCTCGTTCCTTTCTGTGTTTTGGTTATTTTTCCTAGGATGAAGAGGGAGGAAGACCTAGAGTGGGAGGTGGCAGAGGGGGGGGAGTGCCGGGGGGAGGGGAGCAGTTCTTTGGTGGACATCTCCCTCCCCAGGCTTGTTTCTGGGGAAGGGAAGGTCAGTGCCGTGGCCAGTGTTGGAGAAGCCTGCAAGGCAAGGTCCAGGTTCGCTGCTGCGCTCTTCAGTTAGACTTCTGTCCTGGCACTTAGGTCTGGGAGCCTGGTCTTCATACTGGAGAACCTGGCTAGGGATTCAGCTAGTCCTTTTTTTGTGTGTTTGTTTATTGTTTTTGCCAGTCTTAGGGCTTGAACTCAGGGCCGCCTGGGCACTGTCCCTGAGCTTCTTTTGCTCAAGGCTAGCATTCCACCACTTGAACCAGTGTACTACTTCTGCCTTTTTCTGTGCATGTGGTACTGAGGAATCGAACCCAGGGCTTCATGCATGCTAGGCAAGCACTCTACCACCAAACCACATTCCCAGCCCCTGGGAAGCAGCCAGTCTTTCGAGCTAGGATCTGGCTGTGCCACGCTGCCCAGCTTCCACCTGCACTTCAGTGTGGCTCATGAGCAGGCCCAGCCCAGGAGCAGTGCCAGGGAGAGGGGAGACAAGGCTCTGGGGCTCAGCCCCTCAGGCAGACCCCAGCAGCTGGTGCGCAAGGACCCCTGCCTGTGGGAGAAAAGTAGAAAGGCCCATCAGAGTGGAGAAGTCTGGAAAGAGCCCCAGGTTGGGTCTGTCCAGGGGCGGGGAGGGGCTGTCTCTGCGGGCTGGAGCACCTTGGTGCTCCCAGCTCTGGGAGGCGGTAACTTGGTGCTCCCAGCTGGGGGGGGGGGGTGGGCGCGGTAACGCCTGGTCCCCTTTGATCCTCTCATTTGGGAGGGAAGTCTGCTAGCTTGAAACGGAGCAGGTAGAGATTTATGGGGATTAGGGACACCGGGTAAGCTGCCCCTGACCACCAGTTGTTGGGATTGCTTTTCAAGTGAAAGGGACAGAAAATGCAGCCCAGGCTGGCCAGGACGGGAGGAAGAAGACTGTTGGTTTATGTCAGTGAGAAGTCCAAGGCTTCGAGGCGCGGTGGGATCCAGTACTTGGGTGTTCGGTGGCTCCAAATATAAGAGGGTGGCCTGGCAAGGTGACGTCACTCTGAGTGCGTGGCTGTCTTGGTTTGTGTGAGTACAGTTGGGACTCACAGCACACATCCCCGTCCCCGCGTCATCTTGTGAGGTCTCAGCACGTGACCCCATCCCCAGCTCACGTGTGGCCATGTCACGTAGGAGGGGGAGCTGGGTGCTGGAGCCAAGATGCCTGGGGTTCAACACTGGCTCCCCCCTTCCCCTGTGACCCTGTGCTTCATCTCTCCACCTCATCTGTAGAAGACTGGGGGGGAGGGGGTGATAATTGCTAGGATCTTCTTCCTGGAGATTAATCTAGGTAAAGACGACGTGTAAAATACCAGTTTGGAGCAGAGGTTGTGCTCAAGTCTTAGCAAAGGTGTAATTGATAGGGCGATGCATGATGTGTATAATGTTGTTATGTAGACCTCTTCTTGGGGAAACTGGGCTTATAAATTTGCAACTCATTGGGAACCTTAGAGATCTAGAGATGCCTCCTGTTTCTAGGTGGCTGCTGCAGCTCCAGCCATCAACACCACTTTCAGGATAAAAGGTGGGCAGAAAACAAAGCCTGTTTCTCTTAAAGGCCTATTCTCGGAATTTCTTTCTGTGCTTCACTGGTCAGAACTGGGCCACCTGGGCATGGCTAGCTACAAGGGGGCTGGGCCTAAAGGAGATGGGCTGCAGAAGGGCAAGGCTTGTCCCGGCTCCCGCGGCCACTGGTATGGGTGCACTGTGCCTGCTTGCCCGTGGGGAAGAGGCATCAGGGGGCCGCTGTTGCCTGGCATGCTGCTGGTGAGCAGGTCTCCAGGCAACGCGACCTCCCTGCCAACCTGTGGAGGCCCTGGGACGCAGCTGAGTCTGGCTTCTTTTGGCCCCCTGCCCTTCCCCTTCCCAGTGTTCCAGTGGCTGGCGCTGCCCAGCACCAGCTGGACAGTCCACGGCTGCGTTTTCCTTTGCTGTCCTTGGGCAATGCCAGGACTCTGTCTCTGGCTAAACATGGCCACACTTCCTTCCTGTCCCAATCCAGCACCCCAAGCAGAGGTGTCCGTGGTCTGTACTGCTCTGTCCCGTGTCTTCGCCACCAGCTGCACACACGTACCTGAGTTGCAGCCCACGTGACCAAGAAACCGGGCAGTGTGGCAGCAGACCAGAGCCCGGGTCTGTTCTCACAGAGAAGTGCAGAATTAGTAGCATTCATCTGTGAGTCCCTCTGGCCAGGCATGGTGATGCACTCCTGTAGTCCCAGCACGTGGGAGGCTGAGGCAGGGGGATCTGTAATTCCAGCCCAGCCTGGGCTACATGTGAGCAGGAGCAGGGGGAAGGGCCATGCTGTTCTGAAGGCCTGGACAGGGACAGGGAACGCCCAAGGTCACACAGCAAGGGAGACAGAAAGGGAGACTTCTGAGACAGAAAGCAAGTTCTCCCAGCTCCAGTGTTCCTTCTAAAGAAGGCAGTTGGTCCCCGGTGCTCAGAGGGGAGGGTGGGTTGTGGTGCTGGTTGACACCCAGGGGACATTGTGCTGGGCGTACGCAGTGCTACAAGTGGCTTTTGAGAAGTTTTGTTCTTTGCAGTGCTGGAGATAGAACCAGGTGTTCTGTTACCGAGCTACTAATTATAGTTAGGGCGGCTGAGGCCCAGGACGGGGTGCCCACCATAGTCCAGGGCTGGGAGCTCTGCTCCTGGCAGAGCCGGCCAGGGCGGGCAGGGTGGCCGGGGCTGGCAATCTGGGTTGCCCCGCCCAGGTAGGCAGGTGTGCTTTGTAAGAAGGGTGTCTCACTCTCCCTGAAGTTGTTTTTCCAGCCTGGTCCCCTAGGGCTTGGCTTGTGGGGCGCTGCACCTGGTGTGCTGCCCTCTGGCTCCCCCAGGCTTGTTTGAAGCCTGACCACAGGGGCGGGGCCTCAGCCTGGTACACCTGTTGGAAAGGTGAGCTGAGCCCAAGGAAGGTTGTGGTACCGGCGCCCCCGCCCCCCCCCCCCCCCCCTTGGTCTCTACTGAGTGCTGGGGTGGGTTCCCCTCCCCCCAGAGGAGCCTGCTTTTGGGCCACCTGCTTCCTTGTGCTCATGTCCCCCTCGTCCATCCCCTCTGGTAGGAGCAAAGCTACTTAGGCAGACAGGAAGGCCTTTTCAATATGAGCATGGCCTGTGCACTGTGGGACATTCTCATGCTAAAACTTAACCTGTCACTGACCTAGGAACTTCCAGTTTGTATCTGGGGCTTGTTGTTTGTTTTGCTATAAATCTGTCAACCAAGTCTGGCAGCCCATACAAGCAGAACAGGGTAACAACTGGGACCTTGAGAAGTGACCTGGGCTGTGGGGGCCAGCGGCTAGGTACGGATGGGCAGCTAGGAGTCCTGCTTTTGAAGCCCAGTCTCTGGGGACCCAGTGCACAGGTGAACCCAGGGCTGGGTCAGGAAGCCCAGTAGCCACACCGCCAAGAGAGAAGAAAAAAAACCCACAACAGGCGGAAGCAACCTCCCGATCCCACCCATGTAGGATATAATACGTAAGCAGTCACTCACACTCTACGCTGAAAGTAGACCAGGCCTCCTGCTTTCTTCTACTCATGCATTCTTTTCATGGTTCTGGTCCAGGTTCAGCGGGTGCCAGGTGTGGCTAGGTATGGGACATCTCCAACAACAAAAACAGTTTCCCTCCCCCGCACACACACCCCTGGGCTTCGTTAGCAATAAACAGTTACCCAAGGGTGCTTCCAGAAGGCCAAATGTATGCACCGCGGGCAGGTGCCCACCACAGCCTCTGCCCGGCCCTCCCGGGGGCTCATGTCGGTCCCTGAAGAGGTGGGCAGAGGTCTGTGTCTCCCTGAGGAGGTGGTCAGGAGGAACTGGTAAAGGCTAGCTTGGCAGGGGCCCTGGAGGGGCACAGGGCCCCAGTGCTGGCAAGCGAGTGGCGCGTGCACGGTTCAGGTGTAGGCAAAGGCCAGCTCACTGCTTTGGTGGATGTTTCGATGGTTTCTGCTTAAGAATGCCTCTACAATGTTTGTCCTCGAGGTGTGTATGGCCTGTCGCACGGCCCGTCCCCAGGTGGAGCCCCACACCCAGGGCCTGTTCCCCAACGCAGCGTCTCTGTCAGGACTGGGGGTGTGAAGTGGCTGTAACACGTGAGGGGCCTCACCTGTCACTGAAGGATGATGGCCCAGCTGGGGACACCTGGCCTCTCCTCCTCCCGCCTGGCACTCTCACACCAGAGCTGGGTGAAGAGCCACCAAGCCCTCTGCTCTCAGTGTCTCCCCATTTCCTGCGGAGTGACTCAGGGTGAGCGCAAAGGTGTTCTGCACAGTGCCAAGCTCCCGAGGGCTCCGTGCTGCACCAGGCGGGGCAAGTCTGCCTCTCAACCTGGGATCAGGGGCCTTGTTCAAAGCTGCCGCTGTGAACTTGACCTCCTGGAGTGTCTTGATCTCCGGGCCACAGCACCACGGTGTGTAAGGGAGGGGTCACGGAGGGTGCCTTACCGTGGGATACGTTGCGTGCCGTGGCCCACGGTCGTCACGCCCATTTCCAGGGCCACCATCCTCTGGATGGGCACTCCGGGGACAGTCATTGCAGCAGGGGCACCCGGGAAGGTGGGGGCTGGGTTTTCCTGTGTCCTCAATGAGAGGGACAGGAAGTCAGCACCCTGGGAGCTGCCCCGTGTGACCTGTGCTCTTGTCCCCTAGTGCTACGGGAGGAAGTGGCCCGGCTCCAGGAGGAAGTTCACCTTCTCCGGCAGATGAAGGAGATGCTGGCCAAGGACCTGGAGGAGTCGCAGGGCGGCAAGGGCCCCGAGGTCCTCACGGCCACCGAGCTCCGGGTCCAGCTGGTGCAGAAGGAGCAGGAACTGGCCAGAGCCAAAGAGGCCTTGCAGGGTGAGTGACGCCTCAGGCAGCTGCAGCTCTGCCAGGGGGCCCAGCCTGCCCAGCCCAGGGCCTGGAAGCCTGTGTGCTTTGGGGTGGAGGTGCATCTCCCTCCCACCTCCAGGGGGACCGCCACACCCTGCGGGCACCTCCCTCAGAGCCAGGAGTTTATTACATGGACGTCTTTCTGGGCTGGGTCTCTGGTCCAGCAGCCTGCTGCCTCCCCTCCTGGGGTCTTGATGGGGAAATGTGTGTCTCCCCAATTCCCTCCGGGGAGGTTCTGGGCCTCTCTTGCCTGCTGGGTCCAGCACAGCTTCCCTCCTGCCAGGGGAGGAGGTGGGACTTGAACACAGCGTGAGTGTCCAGGCAGCCTCTTGAACAAGGGAGGGAGCCTGTGGGCCCTGTGGGGTCCTAGGAGCTGGCTGGGGATCCCACACCTCTCATGTCCTTCTCCCCTAGGGCTCAGGGAAGGCCGTCGAAGGTTATTTTAGGAAGGTGGTAGGTCACGTGTTAGGTCACCTGCCACAGAGCTTTGGGGTCCACAGACTTGAGCCCTGTAATGACTCTGTTGCTCCCAAGCCATGGAAGTTTGCAATCTGCTTTCCATTTACTGCTCACAAGAATGAAGAATGTTCTAGAAAGAGTAGGTTTGGGGAAGATCAGGCCCATGGGCTGCAGAAGGCTCATGAAATCATGCATGATAGAACAGACACGCGTGTTTCTCGTCCGCTGCCTGCCGCCTCCTGGCCGTGTGGGTGGCTGGTGTGGCTCCCCGTGATGTGATAAATACCCAAATGGCCCTTGGCAGGAAGCAGCTTCTCCCGTGGGAGCAGGACCCCAATATGTCAGCTTACAGAGTCTGCTTCATGATGACGTCATCCCAGCCCCCCCAGGCCTCCGCAGGGAGCTGTGGTAGGCCCGTGGGGCGGCTGCAAGGCCTTGCCTGTATGTGAGCGAGGGCCAGCTCCTGTGTTGTTGGCTTGTGCAGTCTTAGACCTTGTGAGCTGTTTGTTTCTAGTATTTTCTTTCTTTTTCGTCATCATCTTTTGGTACTGGGGATTGAACTTTCTTGCTTGGCTTTTAAGTGCTCCCAGCCCAGCCCCCTCGCTCCAGGCACAGCTCCTCGGAAAGAACATGAGCCGCACCACCTCCCAGCTCCCAACAGGGGTGTTCCGAGCACATGACACGCCATGCACCCCATCCTGCTAGATGCTCCTGGCCACTGCTGCCCCCCACTCTCATCACAGATACCGCACCAGAATGAGACTCCGAGGCAGCAGCACCCCCTGCACCAGCACCTCCCGCACCCACAATCCACATCCCCTCTGGTTGGGGATACCTGGATACAAGAGACAGGCATCTTTAGCTCAGTGAAGGGATGGCAGACTCCACAGCCAGACTTGAACTTGAATCCTAGCCCTTGGACTTGCTGTGTGACCTTGGGTAGGTAGATCCCTCAACCTCTGAACCCTTTGCTGAGGGTCAGGATAATAACCGTGTCTCTCCTAATTGGGTCTATTCATAGAAACTACTTCCTAGGCTGTGAGGGTTAAATGAGATACAAAGTGCTTGGCTCCATGCCTGGTACCATTAATGCAGAGTCTTAGTGGTGCTGAGATGGAGGAGGACACCGCTCCTCCTTGGACCTGCTTAGGGATGTGGGTTACCTGACTCCCATCAGGAGCTCCCGGAACGGAAGCGCCCCCCTTGCCTGCCAGCCCATGCAAGCTCAAGGTAGCAGTGTCCTTGAAAGGCAGGTCAGCGGCCGCCTCACCCCCCTGCAGTGCTACAGCGCCATAAATAAGATGCTTCCTCGCCAGCCAGCTGAGCCCGTGGAGCATCAGCTATAGACAGATGTGGGCAGAGAGAGCAAGAGGAAGGAGAGAAATGCAGGCGCAGAGCCAGCTGCAGATGTCTTATCTGCAGGCCCCACCCACCCCACCCCTCCCAACCCTGGACTCTTCCCCCATGGGAGAGAATTAGGGGCTCAGTGCCGGAACACTGCAGGACCCCAACAGCACAGCAGTGACCAGTGCCTAGGGGGACTAAGGGGTCTTGGAGGATTCCACTGATCTCGTGGGGATGAGGGCAGAAGCCCCAGATGACCAAGTCCAGTGGCATTGGTGTGGATGTGAGTGAACCTATGGCCCACCTCACAGGGAGCCTGTGGGATGACCCTGGGGGTCCGGTGAGCATTGCAGCGGTGACCATAATGAAGACCAGCTTCTTTCATTTTTTGGATTCTCTTATCATCATGTGGAGGGTTTTCCACAACAAGAAATACTCTTTGAGAACATAATTTTTAATGACTACATAATGTTCTCCCAAATGGAAATACCATAATTTACTTGGCCATGTCCTATTATTGGACATTTAAGTGCTTCCCTTTCCCCCCTCCCCATCTCTCTCTGTTTCTCTCTTTCTCCTCCTCTTCTAGGCTGTGAGTGTCTGGGAACACAGCAGCCTCCTGGATAACGCTGGGTTTGAATTTCTGCACAGGTGCTGCTGGCAGGCGCTATCATAGAACCCTTGTTCTTTGTAAAAATCAGTCTGTAGCTTCTCCATATGACAGCAAAAAAAAATGATAGAAGCCTGGTTTCCTCTCATAGAGGGCACAGGATCTGCTGCGGCTTTCCCATACCTGAGCTGCCTGTCCCAGACTAACCAACTTTATTAATTATTTAATTAATAGTTCACCAAATGTTTCTAGAAAGCTTTCCTGTGCTGAGACCTGTCCTGTGGCATGGTTTGGACCATTCCAGTCCTGTCTGTAAACTTGTGACTTGCCCAGAACCTATGACATTCCTACCCCATGCAAGTTGGATGAACACCTTTTTTTTTTTTTAATGGTCAGTCAGGCCTGCGACGAGCTAAGCTCAGTAGAGTGGGGGCCTAGGCTTCTGCTGCCCTTGCAGATATAGCTGGCCTGCAGCCAGTTGTTAGGAAGTGCTTCCAAGGGGTTGGACAGAAAGCCTGCCACAGCACAGTATGGGGTTTGAAAAGTGACTTGAAGGCCGGGCGCTGGTGGCTCACACCTGTAATGCTAGCTGCTCAGGAGGCTGAGATCTGAGGATTGAGGTTTGAAGCCAGCAAACAAATTGAAAGACTCTTATCTCCAATTAACTAGCAAAAATCTGGAAGTAGATCAATGGCTCAAGTGGTAGAGTACCAGTCTTGAGTAAAAATAGCTAAGGGACAGCACCCAGGCCCTAAGTTCAAACCCAATATTGGCACCAAATAAATATAGACTTATATCTCCTGGCTCCTTCCCTACATCCATTCTATTCTCTGTCCACACCTTCCCCTCCAAGACCTGTTCATCTTCTGCCTAGCTGATTGCCCAGGATTGAATTTGTCTGTTCCTCTAGGTCTCCAGATCTAGCCTGATGCCCACCCGGAATCTCTCCTGTCTTGTACCCCTGGTGTGAAAGGCTCTGAGCTGGCAAATCTCAGAACTGGGTGGAAGATTCCAGAATGTTTAACTTGACAGAACATCTTCCTAATATACTACTGGTGCTTTTTTTTTCTTTTTGTCAGTCGTGGGGCTTGAACTCTGGGCCTGGGCATTGTCCTTGAGCTCTTCAGCTCAAGGCTAGCATTCTACCACTTGAGCCACTTCCACTACTGGTGCTTGTACCTGGAAAGCTTCTCAGGCCCCAGCTGCCACCCAGTTGCCCACAACGTGTGGCTAATGGGGAGAAATATCCAGTCTTAAAAGGTCTGCTGTAGTGTCAGCCAAGCAATCTGAGCTGCTTCACATTGTAGACAGAGACCCAAGAAAGACACATGTCCTCAAGCACAACTAACTGGACCGGGCGGAGGGAGGAGAATATACTAGGACTTGAACTCAGAGCCTTGAGTTTGTGCTTAGCTTTTTTGCTCAAGGCTGGTGTGCTTCCACTTAAGCTACACCTCCCCTTTCTGCTTTTTAATGGTTAATTGGAGATAAGCTCTTGCAGTGTTTTCTACCTGGGCTGCTGTGGGACAGTGTTCCTCATTCTCCTGAACAGCTAGGATTACAGGCATGAGTCACTAGCACCAGCCATAACTTCCTTTATATTTTTTGAGGAATTTTTTATTAGTATAAAAGAGTTGTACAAGAGGGATATTTGTACGTTTTCAATTCTAGTGCAAATGTATTTTTAAAATAGTAGTAGGGAAATTTACAAAGATTGTCAAGTTCCCAGATATACCCAGTTTCCCCTTAACCTCTTTCATTGCTTTGTACAGATGCTTTTAAAGCAATCTTGTGCCTCTTGTTTAATGGCATCTCATTGGTCAAAGCAAGCCACGTGAACAGATCCATCATCTTGTGGGCGGGTACTCTGCCTGGTTCCTTGGCAACTGTTTCTGCCACCACCCACCCGGAGCCTGGACTCTAATCACTAGCTCCCTGACAGCACACTTGGTCCTTTTGTTTTTGTTTTTCATGTGGTTGGGTTTTATTTTTTTTCTTTTAAATTTTTGATAGGGTATGTGACATGATGTTGTGATTCAAGTGTACATAGTGTAATGTTCAAATGAGGGTGAGTGGTCTTCAATTTTTATGACAGTGAGGACATTCAAACTCCTGGTCTGCTATTTCGAAATACGGGATTCCTGCGTGTCAGCAGTCGCCACCCTGTGGAGGGGAGGTCACCAGGACTTACCTCCTCGCATCTCACTGGGACGCCAGGACGCTGCCCTCCTCCCCCAAGCATCTCTCTGCCTCTTCTTGCCTGCTGGGCCGAATGCCCCTGCAGCCCCTCAGCAAATGCCCTTCCAGCATCTCAGCGAACACCCTTAGCCTCCAGCATCTGACTGGACACCTGTATTATTCATGACAGTTTCCCACTCATCCTGGAAATGGCTGAAGACAAGTTGTCTGGGCTCACCCCACACTATACTGGTTTGGGAAGCATTTGTTAGGCCTCCCCAGCCATTCTTTCCTGTTGGGGTACCTATATTGTATTTGGTGTGAATACCCCTGGGCATTTTGGGTGATATTCCTTCTAGTTGATACCTGCCTGTAG